AGATTTTATTTATTTATTTGACAGAGAGAGATCACAAGCAGACAGAGAGGCAGGCAGAGAGAGAGAGAGAGAGGGAAGCAGGCTCCCCGCTGAGCAGAGAGCCCGATGTGGGACTCGATCCCAGGACCCTGAGATCAGGACCCGAGCCGAAGGCAGCGGCTTAACCCACTGAGCCACCCAGGCGCCCCTACAGAACAGTTTTTTAAAGGCACTTTATGTTCTCACAAATCTTAATTCAAGAATCTGGGTTCAAGCGTTCTTTGTCATTAATTACTTGTATGATCTCAAGCAAATCACTTGGTACTCTTCAGTGCTAGAATTTTATGATTCAATGAGAAATTCCAACAAACAAAAACAGAAACACTCATACGTAAAAACTGCCTTCACAGCTTTTTCAAACAGCAAGACTTGTAAATCTCTTTTGGTATTTCCTGGAATCTAGACCACACTCAAATGACAAACGACCAAACCCAAGATTCCTGAACAAAGAGAAAAACCAAATATACTTTACTAAACAATCTAAGGCGCACTGTAATTCTGAAACCTGGGGCTGTTCCAGATGTTTTCATGCAAAAATAATCAATTCACAAGTCACAATGCCGAAGAACTATTACGTTCTCTAGTTCTCTTATTATTGGGTTTATAGAGACCATTACTCCTTGAGTCCCATTACAATAAAGTCAAGTAAAAGCTGAACTTTTAAGTAGAGACCAATAAAAAAACTCAACACAACAACGGTCTGATGGAATAAACTATACAAGGCAGTTAACACAAATGGCAATAAAAACTGTATTTCAAAGACTCTTGACATTTAGGAAAGAAAAATAAAACCAAATGATTAGAACAAGGAAAAGTTTAGGCTAGATATTCATTATATTGTTGAGACATTGTAACAGGTAGTAGGGGACAGAGAAATTCATTCCTAAGAGAAAATATAAAAAATGAATATAATGAAAGAGAATCGAAGTTGGGCTGCTATATAAAACTGGATTAGAGAGATACACTACAAACCATGGAAGACTTGTCTCCCCACAGCACAATTTTGTCTTATTTTCCCTCAAAACCACGTTTCTGAAATTTTCCAGGAAAGAAAATATTGGTGGTAAATACTGTTATTTCTACAAATTTAGCATCCTGCGAATTCAAAAATGGAAAGACTTCTGTGTGGGGCTTTGTAAGATTTTAGTACTTGAAGGTAAGTATCTTGGAAGAACTGGTAAGATTTCATTTCTTTGAACTCTCCTACTTAACAGTATTATTTGGAAGTAGTATCGCCTAGTGGTTCAAACGACTTTGGAGTCCAACAGACATGGTTCCCAAACCTGTTGGTCCATTTGCAGGGTAACCCTGGATAAATCACTAAACCTTCCTCTAAGCTATTATCCTAATAAAGGTGTTATGAGAATTAAATGATAATAAATACAGGTTAGCACATAGAAGAGACTGGCAGAGAATCATACACGGTAGCGATCATCACCATCACCATCACTACGGTCTTCAAGTTAGGCTGCACTGAGATCGAGAGTGTGTAGATCTGTGACAGCAGAGACAAAAATCACAATATCCTCGTCTCATGAAGCAATTACAGTTAAAATCACAACACCTGTGAGCCTGTTTATAAAACTAAAGGAAAGGGAAAAAAACAAAACGAAAACAAACCCACGAATGATTAAGGTTTCCGAACAAAGGAGAATTGATTATACGCAGTGAAACTCAGCAAGCTACACAGCTTAAGATTCTAGAAGCGTTAGTTATGATTCTGCCAGTGCTGGGTGACTGAATGGGAGAGATCACTCATTCTGTTATCGCTCCAGTGAAAACGTCAATACTAACGTTAGGTAACAAATTACATACTTAAACAATCTCTCTGCTTATGTTCAGAGGTTGGAGGTAGTGACAAAGGCATTCCCGGAGACAACCTTGGATTCCAGGTTGAGTCTAAGCAAACCTCATGACCTTATTAAAGAGGGTAGCCGCTAGACTCAAGAAGCATTGACTGAGATAGGAAGAAATATGCAGAACAACATGAAGGGGACAGTAAGCACTTAACCGAAGTTAACAGAGATTCCCCCAATTTAGAGATCAGAGACCACCCTCGCCTCCCGAGGGGCAGCGTAAACAGGAAGAGATTAATAATGCCTCTTACCTATCCTCCTGTGAATTCTTTCCAGATCGCCTCTTATTTTTAGCTTCTCGGGGAGATGACCGAATTTTCTTAGCTGGAGGGCCTGAATCTCTTCCATAATCTTCATCTAAACAGAGCATTTTTCAAATTCAATGAATTGTATTACGATTTTTACATAGAAATTACCACTGCTTATTTTTGGAGATAAATATCTCTCAAAAGCTGCTTAAATGGTGAGGGGGCAGGATTTCCCAAATAATTTTCTTTCATTTTTAAAAAATAAATTGTTTTCTACCCCAGTCCCTTTTAGTCCTCATGTGTTTACTTTAATACATTCATAGCCAAATATCTCTTCCATTTCATATCCTGCCCTTTTAATTTATTAAAGATACTGCCATGTTTCAACATCCTCTTATTTACTTGAACTGTTAAGAGTAATAAAGGAATATAAGCATTTTAGAATGTAGAGAACCCACAATTCCACAATCCTAACACAATTCCTGTTATCAAGTAAATTACTTTTAAAGTATTAAATGCAGCATACTCTGACATTTGAGAAAAATACCTTCAATTTCCAAAGTTCTATAGAACTAAAGAAAATTACCCAATCTTAAAAACTGATCATTTCTTTTTTTAAAAGACTTATTTTAGGGAGAGAGTGTATGCATATGCGTGAGAATCTTGAAGCAGACCCCACGCCCAGCACAGAGGCCAACTCTGGGCTCAATCCCACGACCGCAAGATTGTGACCTGAGCCAAAATCTAGAGTCGGATGCTCAACGTAGTGAGCCACTCAGGTGTCCCCAAAATTGATGATTTCTATTTTATTACACTCCTATTATAATTTCTATTTTATTTACACTCCTATCTATAATAGTGGAGAGATCTGGAAGTAGTGTGGTACTTCAGCAATTATTAAATGGTTGGACACATTATAAATTCCACAATGGCCTATCATACAACCATTAACAGGAGTTTCTCAAGTAACTTTTTTTTTTTTTAAAGATTTTATTTTTATTTATTTGAGAGAGACAGTGAGAGAGAGCATGAGTGAAGAGAAGGTCAGAGAGAGAAGCAGACTCCCCATGGAGCTGGGAGCCCGATGCGGGACTCGATCCTGGGACTCCAGGATCATGACCTGAGCCGAAGGCAACTGTCCAACCAACTGAGCCACCCAGGTGTCCCTCAAATAACTTTTAATAACAGGAGAAATATAAGCAGGAGTGGGATAGGAGGAGGACAGAACCCAAAATTCTTTTTTTTTTTTTTAAGATTTTATTTATTTATTTGACTGACAGACATCACTAGTAGGTAGAGAGGCAGGCAGAGAGAGCAGGGAAAGCAGGCTCCCCGCTGAGCAGAGACCCTGATGTGGGGCTCGATCCCAGGACCGAGATCATGACCTGAGCTGAAGGAAGAGGCTTAACCCACTGAGCCAACCAGGCGCCCCCAGAACCCAAAATTCTATAGCAAGACTTCAACTACATTTTTAAAAGGGAGAAAAGACACAGGCTTTTTAAACAAAAAGGCTAAAATGGCCATTTGCTAACCAAGGGACCTTGCATAATATCTCTGCCTCAATTTCCTTATCTGTAAGCAATAACAGTATTCCCCATTCTAACAGGACTGCTCTACTAAGGATTAAATGAGTAACTGCAAGTATTTTAGCAGCATTTAATAAGGGTTAGTATTTCTTCTGGGAGGTTGGATTATATGTTATTACTCTTTTTTACATTTCTGCATTTTCTAAGTTTTCCCAAAGTGCACATATTACTTTTACAAGTAAAATTGGATTAAAAAAAAAAAAAATAGCAAATGCATCTGGAAAATAACGATAGTAAGGACATATTCTAAAGTAAACTTTTTTTTTTTTTTTTAAAGATTTTATTTATTTATTTGACAGAGAGAGATCACAAGTAGACAGAGAGGCAGGCAGAGAGAGAGAGAGAGAGAGAGAGAGGGAAGCAGGCTCCCTGCCGAGCAGAGAGCCCGATGCGGGACTCGATCCCAGGACCCTGAGATCATGACCTGAGCCGAAGGCAGCGGCTTAACCCACTGAGCCACCCAGGCGCCCCTAAAGTAAACTTTTATGGCTAAGTTTTAAGACCTACTACTCAGGGATGCCTGGGTGGCTCTGCTGATTAAGCATCTGCCTTTGGCTCAGGTCATGATCCCAGAGTCCTGGGATCAAGTCCCACTTCGGACTCGCTGCTTAGTGGGGAGCGTGCTTCTCCCTCTACCAGCCACTCCCCCAGCTTGTGCTCTCTCTTTCTGACAAATAAATAAATAAAATCTTTAAAAAAAAGAAACACATACTATTCATTCCATGATAAATTAGTTCATAATCCAAGATGTTTTAGAAAATACTTTCATCTTAGCTACTTTATTATGCAAAAAACTTAAACTAATAGAAGGTAAAAGTTTTGCTGTGATTATAGATGGGGACATTATCAACTAATAAATACTGCATCAGAATTACTACATATTTAAACTGTGGAATCCAAAACCAGATAATAAAAAAATTATTTAAGTATTTATTATCAATGACTTACTAAGGAAAGCTAAAATTCATGCAAGTTCAACTTTTGTTTTGGGTGACAGATCCTGACATAATTTACAATTTATTAAAATCATGAAACTTACCAGCATCATCAGATTCCTGAAACTGTGAATAATCAACGACCTTCCTATTTCTGTAGAAAGAAGAGACTCTAATTAAGATCATAAAAATGTAGGACTTTTCTATGATATTAGAACACACATTCCTATTTCATAAACAAATTAGAACTAGCTCTGTGAAAATTATTTTTCACCAAGCCCCCACCTCAGCCAAAAAAACCTTCACATGTTGTTACAGAAAAGTTGAAACCAAAAGTATTTCAAACTACAGTTCTCCTACTGCTCATTTCAATGATAGCTCAAATACTATTCTCTCCCTCAAAACCTCCCACCTCCCAAAACACACTTAAACAGCAAAATGAGCCAAACAACCACATATATTCATAAGTGACACAGAAATATCCCATGTGTACCAACAAAAACTGTAAATGCTTTACATATTTATTCTTAGTGCTATACACACATACACATGTATACCTGATAAAATTATTACTGTGGTTTTTTTAAGGCAGTGATTTTTAAATGTAAGTTACATTATAATTTACAAATTGTGGTGACAGCAGATTCAGCATTACATAGAAGAAACAAATAACTGATCCGTTCAGAGGATGCTGTTTATTAAAATGGTCTGTAATTAAGAAAAATATGAAAGTCTCATAAATTTATGTATCTACTTGACTCAATGATTTTAAGTACTTCCTACTAGTTAAGGCATCTCTAACAACTTGAACGAATCTTAATTTCCATTTTCCTACTTCACACTCTAAAAGTTTAAAATTCCTCTGAGATAACATAAAAGCTTCCTTGTTAGTATCCAAATAGCCTGGCTTTTCCAAAAGAGCCTTTGAGGTACTGTACCAGTTAGATACTGAGTAAGTGAACTGAAATCATTAAAAGAAACATACCATCAACTACCCTTAAGCCTGAGAGAGGAATATTGCTGATTTTATAGATTAAGACACTATTTATATCCAAAGACAGGAAGCTCAGATCAATCATACATACAATTGGGTACAGCCATACACTTGGCATAGGAGAAGAAAGACAGGCGGCTCTTAAGGGTTTTTGCCTTCTGTTTTTCTTTGGTCTACCAGCAAGGAATTATCTTTTCATTGTACTACCTCAGTAAGTTCAGGTGCAAAACTATAAAATGCACTCTACATATGTTTTGTTAAAAGCAGTTGGTTTTATAAACAAATGATACCGATGTATTAGGAAAGTTGATTTTTAAAACATGACCATTAATTCCACTTACATGAGACATCTAAAGCAGTCAAGTTCAGAGACAGAAACAATGGTGGGGGCGCCTGGCTGGCTCAGTTGGTACAGCAGGCACTCTTGATCTGGGGATTTTGAGTTTGAGCTCCCCCCCCCACCGCCCGTTAGGTGTAGAGACTACTTAAAATAAAACCTGGGGTGCCTGGGTGGCTCATTCGGTTAAGTGTCTGACTCTTGGTTCCGGCTCAGATCATGATCTCAGGGTCTGGAAAGTGAGCCCCACAGCAGAGTCTGTTTGAGATATCCCCCACGCCCGCCTGTGCATGCACTCTCTCTTGAATACATAAAATCTTTAAAAAAAGAAACAAAGAGGGGTGCCTGGGTGGCTCAGTTGGTTAAGTGTCTGCTGTCTTTGGCTCAGGTCATGATGCCTGAGTCCTGAGATCGAGCCCCTCATGGGGCTTCCTGTTCAGTGAAGAGCCCGCTTCTCCCTCTGCCTGCCGCTTCCCCTGCTTGTATACTGCTTCTCTCTCTGTCAAATAAATAAATAAAATCTTAAAAAAGGGTTAAAAAAGACAACAAAAGAGAAAGGAGGGAAGGGAGGGAGGGAGGAAGGGTGGGTCGGTGGTCAGGGGCGCCTGGGTGGCTTAGTCTGTTAAGCATCTGCCTTGAGCTCAGGTCATGATCCCAGGGTGCTGGGATGGAGTGCCGCACTGGGGTCCCTTGTTCAGTGGGAGTCACTTCTCCCTCTGCCCCTCCCCCGCTCATGTTCTGTCTCTCAAAAATAAAGAAATAAAAGTAAAAAAAAAAAAAAAAAAAAAGAATGGGGGCACCTGGGTGGCTCGGTGGGTTAAGCCTCTGCCTTCAGCTCAGGTCAAGATCCCAAGGTCCTGGAATCGAGCCCCGCATCAGGCTCTCTGCTCAGCAGGGAGCCTGCTTCCCCACCCCCTTCTCTGCCTACTTGTGATTTCTATCTGTCAAATAAATAAATAAATAAATAAATAAATAAAATCTTAAAAAAAAAAAAAGAATGATGGATGCTAGGGAGAAGGGGATAGTGAGTCAATGACATATATAGTTTCACTTTGCAAGAGAAAGAGTTCTGGAGATTGGGTGCACAACAGTGTGAATGTATTCAACATTATAGACCTGTACACTTAAAAATGGTTAAGATGGTAAATTTCATGTGATTTTACCACAATTAAAAAGAATAAAATATTTTCTATTAAAAAAGACTACTTGGGGGGGCTGATAATTAAATGCCTACTATATTTTAACAAAATAGTGATTTTAAGTGATACATACTATGAAAAACAGAATTTTGACTGTATTCGGCATTATTTAGGATCAAGAAAAATGGGACATGTAACCGGGATAAGGAAAGTATCCAGAAGAGGGAGTTTGAAATTTTTTTAATTTTTTAAAAGAAATTTATTTATATGAGAGAGAGAAATCACAAGTAGGCAGAGAGGCAGACAGAGAGGGGGAAGCAGGCTCCCTGCCGAGCAGAGAGCCTGATGTGGGGCTCCATCCCAGGACCCTGAGATCATGACCTGAGCCGAAGGCAGAGGCTTAAGCCACTGAGCCACCCAGGCGCCCTGAAATCTTAATCTCTAGTAGTTAATGTACAGGTTCTGAAATTGCAGGCCTAGTAATTCTAGTTTATCCATGCTGGTGGGAAAGCAACTAAAATAATGGTATAATTTCTGCGTACCATCTACCAATCGATCTATTCCATGAGACTATATAAAGAAGGGTAACCAGAACAGTGAAGAGTATATAATATGTAGGGAAACTAAGTAAACAGGAATTTTTAACCTACAAAAGAGAAAACGTGTTAGCTACTTTAAGGCTTTGAAAACAAAGGAGCAATAAACATACTGGTTTATTAGCTTCCTGATCAGATTAAGTGTGGGTTCAACATAACAGCTTTCTAACAGTTTGCTAACTATAGTTACTTCCTTAGTCTGTTACCAGGAATACTCCAGAATGGAATTACACAATAAAAAGTATAGAATCTTTGTTAAGATTCCTTTTAGGTTCTGGTTCTAGAACTTCGGGCAAATCACATAATTTCTCTGGGCCTCAGATCCTTCTCTGTTGGAACTGGCCTAAATTGCTGGACAGATCCAAAACGTTATGCCAGAATTTTTTTTTAAAGTTTATTTAAGTAATCTCTACACCCAATACGGGGTTTGAACTCATAACCCTGAGATCAAGAGTCGCACACTTCTCTAACTAAGCCAGCTAGGCACCCCTATGAGATAAATTTAAATAAAATTACTATTAAAGTTCAAGAAGAGTTTTTCTCAATTGCAAATGGTCAGCTATTATTCTTCTGTGTATCCTACTTCTTACCTCATATGGCTGTTTTCTTCACTAATCTGAGCTTCCTGAGAGTAACAATGGTCTTGTATCCTTTCCCCCACATTTTTTCCCCACCTTCCTTCCCTTTCCTTTCCTCTTTCCTTCTTCCCCTCCTTTTCAACCACAGAGCAAGGTAAAAAGCAGACACTCAAATCTTTTGCTCTTAGGGCCAAATTTAAGAGCTCTGTTAGAAACCCAATTTTATAAGATACTTGAGAGGATAATATCCAATCTCCTTAAAGTCTCTGAAGGCCTTATCTTTTGCCACTTAATCAAGCAACCTGGAAATTTGTAATTCCTCCAATCAGTTTGTTTCATACCAATTGGTCTACACTGCTGCTCGCATCACTCCCGCTCATATCGGATCCAACCTCACTTCCTCTCAACACCTTTAATCCTCTACTGATACTGTATCATCTACTGAATTTCTGTCTTCCCTACTAAATGTGAACTTCTTGAGGAGAGGGGTTGTCTCTCCTTCATTCAGAACATCAAAATCAAGACTTTTTTTTTTTAAGATTATTTATTTATTTATTTGACACAGAGAGAGAGATCACAAGTAGGCAGAGAGACAGGGGGAAGCAGGCTCCCTGCCGAGCAGAGAGCCCGATGCGGGGCTCGATCCCAGGACCCTGAGATCATGACCTGAGCCGAAGGCAGAGGCTTTAACCCACTGAGCCACCCAGGTGCCTCTAGACATGTGTTTGATGAGCAAATGGACTTGGCATCTGCAAAGGGTCAGGGTGGGAAAGGGGATCGTGTGGTGTGAGAGGATGCATGTGGGAGCCTTCAGCCCATCACTGCCCTAAATGACAAAAGAAAATTCAGTTTCCTCCATAGGAAGTAACTAGTTATTTTAAATCAAAGAAATTAAAAAGGCAACTATTTAGTACATTTTCTTCTATCATGGTTTTTAACAAGCAGAACTACCAAAAAAAAAAAAAAGCCATGTAGACTATACTGATATTACAGGAGTAATCAAATCTATATTTTTCAATAAATTCAGAAACCATACCACTTGAAACACAAAATATTTTACTCTCAATTATGTGAAAATGGCCAAAATTATCAGATCTTATGTAGATAATAAATGTTATTTATCACAGACTTAGAGTTATACTTATCCCAAGCAAATCTGTTTAAAGGCTAACTACGCCAAAAAAAGAAAAAAAAAAAAAGGGAAAAAGCATCCATCCATAAATGTTGTTAGAGGGAAAAGAAAAAATTATTTAAATAAAGGATCTGCGATAACAAGGGTCATTCATAATAACTCATTTAATGACTTAGAATAATAATTTGGTTAATTTCCTGCCTTCTAAAGATACTTCAAAACAACAGTAGAAATACTATTCCATTACCTGCAGATTTACCTTATTTCAGGTAGAAATCACTTTAAAAAAAAAAAAAGACTTTATTTATTTGACAGAGATCACAAGTAGGCAGAGAGGCAGGCAGAGAGAGGAGGAAGCAGGCTCCCCCCTGAGCAGAG